ACAGAAAAATACAAGAAGGAACAGAGTATGGTGAAACAACTCAAAATGATAGTGCTGAGGGTGCATTGATTTGTTTTGAATTGGATAAGATGAATTTTAAATTGTTATTTTATTAATTGAGGTAATAACATATCAAATTCTTTACATATACAATTTATAAAAGCTACGAGGTTTTGTCTTGCAAATAGGGCATTTAGAAAGGCAATGAGAACAACAAGTTTCGCAAAAAACATGTCCACAAGGATTGAAAGCAGCATTCTTATTTCTATCCATACAAATGCAGCATCGTTGTTCTTCTTCTATTTTCTCCTTCAGATCCATCAGTTCATGGTTTGCAGTTTCTAGCTCAATTTTCATTCTTTCCAATTCACGTTTTTGAGTCTCAGGTTGCTGGTGTGAATTTTGTTTTTCAAGTATTTCATTCAATTTCACTTCAATTTTCATCTTTTCCTTTCCTATCTCAATCAGTTTGTTTTCAATTTTTATCTTTTCTTGTTCTTTGGTTCTCAAGTTTTGTTCAACTTGCTTATTCTCCTGTTCAATTTGCTCATTTAACTTTCTTTGTATATACCAATACCCCAAAAAGCTACCACCTACAATCACCAAAACTGTCATATAAATAGTATTTTTAAATTGATTTGCCAATTGGGTTTCCAATTGAATTTGATCTTGTTCTTTTTTTAATTGTTGCAGTTTATATTCTTGTTCTTTTTCTAATTGTTTCATGTAATTTGTAAGGAACTTTGTATTTCCATAGTATACGGCAATATCAAAAGCATCATATTTAGAGAACTTTTAAAAATTAATATTACTCAGCTGCCTCAATAATTAACTTACCCAATAATCAACTTTTTCATAAGGATTGGCCTCTCCTCCTTTAATTAATTGATTGATCAATTCCCAATGATTGTTCTTAATGGCATCATGGAGTTGTTTGGTTGTTCTTTCATCACATGAAGCAATAGTGATGAGAAGTAACATCATCATCATCATCATCAATACAAACAATATTACTGATTGAAGATTTAATGTTTTAGACATTTTTTGTTTAATAAAGCAGTGAATGGTTCCCATCCACACAGGCTTAAACGTCTCAATCTTAATTACGGTTCCAAATGGGTAGAATTCACATTTCACCAAGGCGAAAAAATGGTGCAAAAAAAATTTTGAATGTGAACATGGTTACTTTGTAAACGTTCAATCTTTTACTGACTAATAACCTTGATTTCTGTCATATCCTATGATTAAACAGAAGTTACCTTATATCATCATATATACTTAATAAGAGAATGCATTTAATATAAAATCAATTTTCAACACAACAACTTTAATTGAAATTATCCCATAAACCTCTAAAAGATTTCTTTTTAATTGCATATGGTACTTCTAATGCTCCTCTTAACATTTTTAATACATCCAATCCCATACTATTATAATAAAATAAATATTAAATATTAAATATTAAATATAAATAAATATAAAACATATAAATAAATATAAAACATACAAAATACCAATAATACCAGCAATTTGACCTAATAAACCTTCCATTGAAGAAGTTAAAAGTTCAGTAATCTTATTTTCATTTAAAGAAGAATAAGCAATTGAAATTACAACTAAATTTTCATCTGATTGAGTTAATTCAACAATTGATAATAAAGAATCCCATCTTGTATCAATTAAATCTGGATTTTCTATAGTTGGTTTTAATGTTTCAGTTACTATTTTTGTTAAAACAAAATAATTATCAACACCTGATATTGCAAAATTAGTTTCAGCAAATACTTTTGGTATAGTTCCAGGTTCATGAAAACTAACTTGAAGTCCAAATCTAGAATCTCTATCTTCTGGTACATTGGGTACATTAAAATAAAATGATATTGTACCTGCATATCCTGTTGCATTGGCTTTTTTTTTAATATTATATATTGTTATT